TTCTAACCCCCCGTTTCAGAAGGGACCCACAGGATCATCCAGTGCAGCTCCTGGCCCTGCACAGACCCCCCCAAAATCCCTGCCAGCCTGCAGCCTTGGGTCGTGGGGTCACGGAATGGTTTGGGTGGGAGGGGACCTTCAGTCTCACCCAGTGCCACCCCCTGCCATGGGCAGGACACCTTCCACTAGCCCAGCTTGCTGCCAAGCCCTGCCCAAGCTGGTTTTGGGTCTGAAGCAGGCCTGATGTCCCCTTTGCAGACGTGAACTCCCGCTCTGCCCGCGTGCTCTTCCTCCTGGTGGTGCCCGGGCACTTGGTGTTCCTCTACACCATCCACTCCATGCAGGGGGGACACACCACGCTCACCCTCATCTTCATCGTGTTCTACATGACAGCAGCACTGCTCCAGGTGAGCTGGGCCCCCCGGGGGGCTGGGCTGGCTCAGGGGACACGGGTGGCACCTGCACTGGGGACTGCTTGGAGGGAGAGACCCTGTCCCTGCCCGGAGATCCTGTGCTGGGCAGGGGGACCCTCGGGAACTCTTTGTGGACACCTGTGCTCGCAGTTCTTCCATCCTGCCATTCTTGGGGAGTTTACAATCTGCCTTTTGTCTCTTTTGAGTCTTTTTGATAGCCAAAGTGTTTCTGTCCCCGGGGTGATCTGGCAATTTGAAAAGGCCTGGTGATGAAAGGAGGATGTGGAATTTTGCAGGGAATGTGTGCCCTGTGCTGCCCTTTGCCCTGGCACAGCCTGGAGCTGGGCGAGCCCACAGGGCTCTGAGGGACACACAAAACCAAAGGCTTGAGAGCATCCACTGCAGATTTTGTTGTGCCCACGGGGTTGTTGTGGTGTTGTTGTGGCTATGGGGTGGTTGTTCCTGCGGGGTTGTTGTACCTGTGGGATGGTGGTGGCCCATGGGGTTGTTGTGCCCAGGGGGTTGTTGTTGCTCCCATGGAGTTGTTGTGCTCACGGGGTTGTTCTGTCCCATGGGGTGGTTGTGCCTGTGGGGTTGTTGTGCCCAGGGGTTGTTGTTGTTCCCATGGAGTTGTGCTCACGGGGTTGTTCTGTCCCATGGGGTGGTTGTGCCTGTGGGGTTGTTGTGCCCATGGACTGGTTGTTCCCACGGGGCTGTTGTGCCCATGGGGTTGTGTCCATGGGGTTGTTGTTCCCAGGGGGCTGTTGTGTCCGTGGGGCTGTTGTTCCCTTGGGGTGGTTGTGCCTGTGGGGTTGTTGTTTTCTGTGATGCTGTTGTGCCCGTGGGGCTGTGCTCCCTGGGCCAGGCAGAGCTGCTGTGGGGTTGTTGTTTTCTGTGAGGTTGTTGTGCCCGTGGGGCTGTGCTCCCTGGGCCAGGCAGAGCGCCCATGGGGTTGTTATTCCCAGGGGGTTGTTGTGCCCATGGGGCTGTTGTGCCCCTGGGGCTGTGCTCCCTGGGCCAGGCAGAGCTGCAGTGGGGCTGCAGGGCTCAGGGGCTGTGCTGCCGTGGCTCTTGCAGGTGCTGATCCTGCTCTACATCGCTGACTGGATGGTGCACTGGATGTGGGGCAGGCACCTGGACCCCGACAACTTCTCCATCCCGTACCTGACAGCCCTGGGGGACCTGATTGGGACAGGGCTGCTGGCCCTCAGCTTCCACGTGCTCTGGCTCATCGGTGACCGGGACTCTGATGTTGGGGATTAAATCTCCCTGCTCCTCCCTTCCCACAGCTCTCCTCCTTCCATTTGTTGTTTCTTTGCTTCCCCCTCCTGCCACCCCCCTGGAAGATTTCACCTTTGATACTGGATTCTCATTATTTTCAATGGGAATTTTACCTGGTTTATATTTCAAGCCGAGTTTGTACAGAAGAATCTACCTAGTTTTGGGAAGGACAAACAAACAAACAAAAAGTGTAACGAGACAATCACTAAGTGCAATTTTCGTAGCAGTTATGTCTGAACCAAGGTTCCAGAGAAGTTCCTGCCCGGTCAGATCCTGCAGGGAGCCCCCCTGCCCCTCCCTCGAGGTTGAAGTGCTGCTTTTCTCGCTTCATAAGCGTTTTAAACCCTGCGGGTGGAGCTCGGGTGTGCTCAGCTGAGCTGGCACCTTCCAGCCAAGCACAGCCCGTGGCTCAGGGCACGGGGTGCCCCTGCCTTGGCTCTCTGAAGCTCCAGCCTGGGCCCACACCCAAAAACGGGGCGTGTCTGTGAGGGGGATGAGGAGGATGGTGAGGAAGGCTCCTGTGTTCACCCCAGGAATGCGAGTGAGCTCATCTGGGACCCCCAGCCCCTGGCTGGGCTCTGCTGGCACCTCAGGCTCCCTTTTGCCACCCGCCCCAGGCTGCAGCACGCTGCTCCTGCCTTGGTGAGCCCAGCTCAGCTGCTCTGAGCCTCACCCAGAGGGGCTGGGAGCTCTCCCCACCCATCACCACCATCATCATCATCATCACCATCTCCATCCCACTGCCAGAGATCTCTGCAGACCCTCCTGGTGCTGCTCCATTTCCCTGGCTCTCCTCGGTGCAGCTGACGTTCCCAGAGGGGTGGATGGACAAACAGCCCCTGGGTTTTGTGCCCAGCTTTCCTTTTGGCTGCTGAGGGGCCCCTTGCAGGCAGGAAAAGCCACCCAGCAGCTGCCCCAGCTGAGCCTGGGGTGCTCCCAGCTGGGCAGGAGCATTTTGCTCCTGGTGTCTGTTAGGGAAGGACGTCCTTGGGATTTCTCTGCCAGCTGGAAAGCAGCTGGAAGTGCAGGATCACAGGAGCCCTGGCTCTTGGAGCAGGAACAGGAACCTCCTGCCCTTGTGTAAAATCTGGGACTGGGGCTCAGCCCAGCTGGGAGGCCCTGGCTGAGCCCTGGGAGTGCAGGGTTCCTCCTCTGCTGCTTCCCCTCCTGCTTTTTGTGCTCTTCACCTCAGGGAATTCCTGCTCTTCCCCTTAGGCCATGCTGGGAGGGCAGCAAAACCAGAGGGGCAAACCAAGACCAAAGTTAGTCCAGGCTCGTTGTGCCAGGCCAGGATCTGGCAGCAGAGCTGGGCCTGGCTCCTGATGATGCTGTTGGGAAGGAGGGCCAGGATGCAGGAGTTCTGGATTGTTGGAAAGGAGGGTCAGGGTGGAATTCTAGAAATCCACGGAGCACATGGAGCTAAGCCAGGGCTCCTGGCTGCTCCTGCCCTCTCTGGAGCTCTGCAAACCCTTCCCTGCTGCTGGAGGTGGGCAGGAGGCAGGACTGGCTGCTCCCCAGAAGAGCAGGTGTTGTATTTTTGAGGTGATTTTCCCCTTTTTCCCCTTGCTAATCCAGCATCAGGCTCAGTCCCCCTCCTCCTGTGTCCGTGTCCCATGTGGGAGCAGCTCTGGTCCTCCTCTGTCCCCTCTGGTGACATTTCTCAGCTCTCCTTTGGCCAAAGCTGTGCTCAAAGGAAAAAACCCAACCACAAAACAAAGCCTGTCCCTGCTGTGCTGAGCTCTCAGCCCAGGGAATCCTGGATATTTTCTGGAATATTTTCTGGAATATTCTCAGCTGCTCACCTGATTTCTCTGCCTGATGCTGAGGATTAAATGCAAGATTTCCTTCCATTAACACTACAGCTTTTATGGATATAAAGAGAAGCTCTGCTGGCCTTTCTGGTGTCACATCACCACTTAATCCCCCAGGAAAAGATTCCCTAGGGTTGTGGGGCTGGGGGCATCTGTACATTAAATATGGTCAGAGGTGTGCTTGGGGAATGGTCAGGGAAGAATTTAATTTAAAAGTGAGGAATATTGATGGAAAAAACCCAGAAACAAGCCTCTTCCCACTGGTTGCACTCCAATGCATGCCTACTCTACAGCTGCCTGCAGATGAAAATCCTGGTTTACTCTTTTATCAAAGGAAAAAGACTGTCTTAATTATTTATAGTTCCTATAACTGACAGATGTCGACCTAATGGATAAATTATATTTGGTTAAATAAAGATGACATTTATTTATGTGGACTCTGGTGGGGGTTTTTTTTTTCCATCAGGTTGAAGGCCCCTTTCAAGTTTTGAGGCTTATTTGAGCTCTCTTTTGATAGGAGAGTTACGAAAATCAAATAAACTGCTGGGCATGAAGCAAGCTGGGATTAGTGTGAGTGCCAGGTGCCCTAGGTCGGGTCCTGGCAGCTCCTGGGGGCTCCCAGCAGGAATCCAGGTGCTGGTTCAGGATCCAGGCCCTGCTGCCACGTGGCCTCTGCCTGTTCCTGCTGATTTCATGGAACAAAAGGGTTCTGCCCCTTCTGGGGTGCAGAAAAACCCCTGGAGTTGCAGGAATTGGTGTTTCCTGCAGGGCTGTGCCCCCAGAGCAGAATCCCAAAACGCCAGCCTCGGGTTTGGGGAGCAGCCCCCCAGCCCTGCTGGCTTCTCACACTGGGGTGAATATTGGGGTGAATATTGGGGTGGGCCGGGACTTCTCCTGCTCTCCTGGGCCTGGGGGGTTCTGTTGGCATTTCCTCGTTGGAAAAGGGAGCAGGAGGTGCAGGAAGAAGCAGCTGGGCTTTAAGACCTTGGAGAAATCCCAGCAATAAGGGAGCCTTGTTTAAAAATTAAAATCTGATGGGAGAGGTGTTTGCACATTGTGGGGTGCAGGGAGCATGGGCTGGGGTTCAGGGCTGTCTGGGGCAGGGGAGAGTGGGGATGGGGGTGCAGGGGGCTGGATCTGGGGATACAGAGGATGTGCAGGGCTGGATCTGGGGGCGCACAGAGCAGGGTCTGAGGGTGCACAGAGCAGGATTTGGGGGTGCACAGAGCAGGGTCTGGGGGTGCAGGATCAGGATCTGGGGGCGCACAGAGCAGGGTCTGGGGGTGCACAGAGCAGGGTCTGGGGGTGCAGGATCAGGATTTGGGGGCGCACACAGCAGGATCTGGGGGCGCACACAGCAGGATCTGCTCCCAGGGGGATGTGCCGGGCTGGCTCCGGCGGAAGGCAGCGAACTACAGCTCCCGGCAGCCCCGGGAGGCTGCGGCGCTGCCCCGGCTGAGCCGCACATGACCGAGCGGGGCCGGGCCGGGCCGGGCCGGGCCGGGATGGGGCAGGATCGGATGTTCAAGGTGCTGGTGGTGGGGGACGCCACGGTGGGCAAGACCTCGCTGGTGCAGCGCTACGCCAACGACAGCTTCAACCGGCACTACAAATCCACCGTGGGGGGTGAGCCCGCCCTGGTACCGGGGCTACCGTGGGGTACCAGGAGATTACCGAGGGGTTCTCGGGGGCTACCCGGGGGTTACCGGGAAGTTCTCGGGTGTTACCGGAGATTACCGGGGGGTTCGCTGGTGGTTGGTTACCGGGGGGTTAATCGGGGGTACCGGGGGGTTCCGGGGGTTATCGTGAGTTCTTGGAGGTTACCGGAGGGGCGTTCCCGGGGGTACCGGGGATTCTCGGGGCGTACCGGGGGTTACCGGGGGGTTCGCTGGGGATTACCGGGGAGTACCGGGGGGTTAATCGGGGGGTACCGGGGGGTTACCGAGGGATTGCCGGAGTTCTCGGGGCGTACCGAGGGTTACCGGGGGGTTCGCTGGGGGTTCTCGGGGGGTACCGGGGGTTACCGGGGAGTTCCGGGGGTTATCGGGAGTTCTTGGGGTTTACCCGGAGGGGAGATTCTCGGGGGTTCGCTGGGGGTTACTGGGGGTTCCCGGGGGGTACCGGTGGTTACCGGGGGGTTACTGGGGGGTTACCTGGGGGTTCCGGGGTTCTCTTGGGTTTTTGGGGGTTACTGAGGGGTTCCCGGGGGGCTCTCCGTGGTTTCCAGGGGTTCCCCGGCGGTTCCCAGCGGTTCCCGGGGGTTCCCAGGCTCCAGCACCGTGCCCATCCCGGTGCCCGTCCCCAGCCCGCACTGCGCCCCTCGTCCCGGGGGACTCCCCCCTCTCCCCCGTCCACCCCGGGCAATGGGGTTGGGAGTTTGGGGTGTGAACAGCCACGCACCGTCGGTGGTTTGTGGGGTATTCACTGCCAGAGCCTGTTCCCTGAGCCCCCGGGGATCCTGTCCCTCTGCCAGGCTCGTTTGGGGTGCCCCTGCCCCTTGGAATAGCCACCCCAAATAGCCATCCAGCTGCAGGATGGACAGGCTGAGGTTATGGGCTCAGATCATCCCACTAAAACCATCAGCAGCGCTGGTTTGGCGTTAACTGAACAGCCCTGAGCCCCCAGGAGCTTCTTCTTGACTCATTTGGGGTGCCCCATCCTTCTCCCACCCCCTGGAATAGCCACCCCGGGAGCTGTAAGATGGATAGGCTGAGGTTCCAGGCTCAGCTTATGCAGTAAAACCAGCAGCCACACTGGTTTGGCATTAACTGGACAGCCCTGAGCCCCCAGGAGCTTCTTGACTCATTTGGGGTGTCCCATCCTTCTCCCACGCCCTGGAATAGCCACCCCGGGAGCTGCAAAATGGATAATCTGAGGTTATAGGGTCAGCTCATCCCAGTAAAACCATCAGCAGCGCTGGTTTGGCTTTAGTTAAACAGCCTGGCCTCCCTGCTGAGGGGTCAGCAGCTCTTGGGAAGCTCTGGGAGGAGGGAATGGGGCTGAGCAGGATTTTGGGTCTTTGTGTGAATGAATAACCTGGAAGGAGCAGGAGCTGCCAAGGCTTTACCCAGGAAATCTCCCCAAGGACCCAAAACTGGGGGTGTTGAGCACAGCTGTTTAAATCTTCTTATTCCTGACCTGAGAGGGGATGGATCAGAGGTGAAAACTGGAGAGGCACAGAGCTCTGGGCTGTGCCCTGGTCTCTGCCTGCAGCAAATGCTGCAGGCTGGTTCCTGGGACTTTTCTTTTTGTATTTTGTTCCTGGTTTTGGTCACTTCCAGCCCAGCTAGGTCTGAATGCCAGGTTGAAACCCTGACACATCAGGATGTGAGAACAGCACAGGGCTTCCCCTTTTGACTCACTGGTGGCAGCAAATGTGGGGTGATTCAGCTTGGAAGGGACCTCAGGGCTCCTCTGACCCCATAAACAGGGACACCTTTCCCTGTGCCAGGTTGCTCCAAGCCCCATCCAGCCTGGAACTGTGCTTGGCTGGTGACCCAGGTGCAGGATTTGGGGTGGCCCCGTGGCTGGGCTGGGGCTCTGGCAGGTGGGGAGAGGCTGTGCAGGAGCAGCCCCGAGGTGCAGAATGGCCCTGAGCAGCTTTCCTTCCTGCTGTTTTGGGAATTCTCCAGTGGATTTTGCCCTGAAGGTGGTTCAGTGGTCGGAGTCGGAGACGGTTCGGCTGCAGCTCTGGGACATTGCAGGTATTTGGAAGGGTTTCTAATGTTCTCAATGTTTTGGCCTTTTTTGCCTTTCCCTTCCCTTCCCTTCCCTTCCCTTCCCTTCCCTTCCCCGTTCTTTCCCCTTTCATATTCCTTTATCTTCCTTTTCCTTCTCCTCCAAAAATAAATCCCAGGTGCCTGTGGGTTCCAGGGGCAGGACTGCTCTGCTTTGCTGCCTCCAGCCTGCTGTAGTAATTTAAATATTTAATTAAAAATCCACCTGTGAGGAATGCACACAGCAATTCCTGCTGGGCCTTTTGCCTCTGTTCCAGAGCCAGAGCAGAGGGAGTGTGGAACTGGCTGGATATGAGACTGCTCAGCTCTTTTTTTTGGGTTAAAATCCAAATTTCTGGCACGGGACACACTCTGAGGGACAGAATTATAAAAGCTGGAGTGGAACAAGTAGCTCCTGTCTCAGGAGCAGGAAAGAACAACAAACCATAATAAAAATAGGCAGTGAAAAGGAAATTTCCTCTCTCAGAAGCAGGAAAGGAAAACAAACCAGTGAAAATATGAAGAAAAAAAAAAGGCTCCAGGAATGAATTTCCCAAATTCCCTGGCACCAGGAGAGCTCTGGGCAGCAGCATCTCTAAAATGGCCCCTCTGGATGTGGAGCAGGGAGGAAAGCAGGGCTGTGGTTTCCTCTGGGCTGCCTGGGATCCTTAAAATGGCATCAGGAAGGAGAAGTTGGCAGAGTGAGCCACGCAGCAAGAGGCTGCTTTGGCTTCTGGCCCCAAAAAGGAGCTGGAGGCAGAGCTGGCACTGTGCCCGTGTGGTGCCCAGGTGGCCCCAGGGCTCCGGGTCACCTGGGGAGGATGCAGATATTGGGGCTGTCCCTGGAGGTGTCACAGAGCCCCGGGGCACCCTGGCACCCTGTGCCCGCTGGGGGTCTTTGGTCCCTTTAACCCAAACAGACTTGGTGTGTGTTTTCTGTGTTTCTCTGTGGGTTTGTGTGGGTTTTGTGTGTTTCTCTGTGGGTTTGTGTGTGTTTTTCTGTGTTTCTCTGTATATTTTATGTGTTTTTCTATGGGTTTTGTGTGTTTCTCGGTGTATTTTATGTGTTTCTTAATGGGTTTTGTGTGTTTCTCTATTTATGTGTTTCTCTATGGGTTTTGTGTGTTTCTCTGTGGGTTTGTGTGTATTTTGTGTGTTTCTCTCTGTATTTTATATGTTTCTCTATGGGTTTATATGGCTTTTGTGTGTTTCTGTGTGGGGTTTATGTGTTTTTTGTGTGTGTGTTTCTCTGTGAGTTTGTATGGTTTTTGTGGGTTTTTGTATACCTGTATTTTATATGTTTCTCTATGGGTTTATATGGCTTTTGTGTGTTTCTGTGTGGGTTTTATGTGTTTTTTGTGTGTTTGTTTCTGTGTGGATTTGTATGGGTTTTGTGTGTTTCCCTGTGGGTTTGTGTGTATTTAGTGTGTTTGTGTGTTTCTCTGTGAGTTTGTATGGTTTTTGTGGGTTTTTGTATACTTCTCTGTGGGTTTGTATGGTTTTTGTGTGTTTTTGTATGCTTCTCTGTGGGTTTGTATGGTTTTTCTGTGTATTTTGTTTTTCTGTGGTATTTGTGTATTTCTGTGTTTCTCCATGGGTTTATGTGGTTTTTGTATGTTTCTCTGTGTGTTTGTATGGTTTTTGTGGGTTTTTGTATACTTCTCTGTGGGTTTGTATGGTTTTTCTGTGTATTTTGTGTGTTTCTCCATGGGTTTATATGTATGGTTTTTGTATGTTTCTCTGTGTGTTTTTGTGTGTTTCTTGTGTGGATTTTGTGTTTCTCTGTGTGTTTGTGTGGTTTTTGTGTGTTTATCTGTGTGTTTGTGTGCTTCTCTGTGGGGTTTTGTGTGTATTTTGTGTGCTTCTCTGAGTTTCTTTATGGGTTTGTATGGTTTTTGTGTGTTTTAGAGTATTTCTCTGTGCGTTTGTACAGTTTTTGTGTGTTTCTCTATGTGTTTGTGTGCTTCTCTGTGGGGGTTTGTGTGTATTTTGTGTGCTTCTCTGAGTTTCTTTATGGGTTTGTGTGGTTTTTGTGTGTTTCTCTATGTGTTTGTGTGCTTCTCTGTGGGGTTTTGTGTGTATTTTGTGTTTCTCTGAGTTTGTTTGTGGGTTTGTATGGTTTTTGTGTGTTTTAGTGTATTTCTCTGTGCGTTTGTACAGTTTTTGTGTGTTTCTCTGTGGGTTGGTATGGTTTTTGTGTGTTTTTGTGTGTTTCTCTGTGGGTTTGCACAGTTTTTGTGTGTTTCTCTGTGGGTTTGCATGGTTTTTGTGTCTTTTTGTGTGTTTCTCTGTGGGTTTGTACAGTTTTTGTGTGTTTCTCTGTGGGTTTGTATGGTTCTTGTGTGTTTTTGTGTGTTTCTCTGTGGGTTTGCACAGTTTTTGTGTGTTTCTCTGTGGGTTTGCATGGTTTTTGTGTCTTTTTGTGTGTTTCTCTGTGGGCTTGCACAGTTTTTGTGTGTTTCTCTGTGTGTTTATGTGTTTCTCTGTGGGTTTGTATGGTTTTTGTTGTTCCCTGTGGGTTTGTGCAGTTTTTGTGTGTTTCTCTGAGGGTTGGTATGGTTTTTGTGTGTTTTTGTGTGTTTCTCTGTGGATCTATATCGGTTTTTTTGTATTTTTTGTATTTCTCCTTGTGTTTTTCTTGATTCTGTGACCTGACCCCTACCCAGCCCAGCGACCCCTGCCCATCACACACCCCAAATCCCCCCTCTAACCACAAATCCCTACAGCCAGCTGCAAACCCAACCCCTAAACACCCAACCCACCTGCACCAACCCCAAAACACCAACTCTGGCTGGGTTTTTCCCTCTGCTTTTTGACCCCGAAGGGCAGGAACGCTTCACCTCCATGACCCGGCTGTACTACAGGGAGGCCTCAGCCTGTGTCATCATGTTTGATGTCACCAACGCCAGCACCTTCAGCAACAGCCACAAGTGGAAGCAGGACCTGGACAGCAAGCTGGTGCTGCCAGACGGGAGCGCCGTGCCCTGCCTGCTGCTGGCCAACAAGGTGGGCAGCGTGCCCGGCCGGGCTGGGGGCTCCTCTGCGGGTTTGGGGGGTTCTGTGGGGGGCTTTGTGTGTTTTGTGCGGTTCTCTGTGGGTTTGTGTGTGGTTCTCTGTGGGTTTCTGTGGTTTTTGTGTGTTTCTCTGTGTGTTTGCGTGTTTTTTGTGTGGTTCTCTGTGGGTTTGTGTGGTTTTTGTGTGGTTCTCTGTGGGTTTTTGTGTTTCTCTGTGGATTTCTATGGTTTTTGTGTGTTTCTCTGTGGGTTTCTGTGGGTTTTGTGTGTTTCTCTGTGGGTTTCTGTGGGTTTGTGGGTTTGTCTGTGGGTTTTTGTGGGTTTCTATGGTTTTTGTGTGTTTCACTCTGGGTTTCTGTGTTTTTTGTGTGGTTCTCTGTGGGTTTTTGTGTTTTTTGTGTGGTTCTCTGTGGGTTTGTGTGGTTTTTGTGTGTCTCTCTCTGGGTTTGTGTGTTTTTTGTGTGGTTCTCTCTGGGTTTCTATGGTGTTTGTGTGTTTCTCTCTGGGTTTGTGCGTTTTTTGTGTGTTTCTCTCTGGGTTTGTGTGTTTTTTGTGTGGTTCTCTGTGGGTCTGTGTGTGGTTCTCTGTGTGTTTGTGTGTTTCTCTGTGGGTTTGTGTGGTTTTTGTGTGTTTTTCTGTGGGTTTGTGTGGTTTTTGTGTGGTTCTCTGTGGGTTTGTGTGTGTTTCTCTGTGTGTTTGTGTGTTTCTCTGCGGGTTTCTATGGTTTTTGTGCATTTCTCTGTGAGTTTCTGTGGTTTTTGTGTGTTTCTCTGTGGGTTTGTGTGTTTTTTGTGTGGTTCTCTGTGTGTTTGTGTGTTTTTGTGTGTATTTGTTTGGTTTCTCTGGGTTTGTATGTTTTTTGTGTATTTCTCTGTGTGTTTGTGTGTTTCTCTGTGGGTTTCTGTGGTTTTTGTGTGTTTCTCTGTGGGTTTCTATGTTTTCTCTGTGTGTTTGTGTGTTTCTGTGTGTGTGTGTCTGTGTGTATTCTCTGTGTTTCTCTGTGTGTTTTGTGTGTTTGTGTTTTTGTGGCTTTTTGTGTGTTTCTGTATGTGTTTTGTGGTTCTCAGTGGGCTTGTATGGTTTTTGTGTGTTTCTCTATGGGTTCGTTTTTGTGTGTTTCTCCGTGGGTTTTTGTGTGGCTCTCTGTGTGTTTGTGTGTTTATCTGTGTGTTTTTGTGTGTAGTTTATGGGTTTCTCTGGATTTGTATGTTTTTTGTGTGTTTCTCTGTGGGTTTCTACGTTTCTTTTTGTGCGTGTTTCTCTGTGTTTCTGTGTGTGTTCCTCGGTGTTTCTCTGTAGGTTTGTATGGTTTCTGTGGGTTTCTTGGTGTTTCTCTGTGTATTTGTGTGTTCTGGGTGGGGTTTTGTGTGTTTTTTGTGTGTTTCTCTGTGGGTTTCTATGCTTTTTGTATATTTCTCCGTGGGTTTGTATGCTTTTTGTGTGTTTGTTTTGTGGGTTTGGAGTGCCCACCCCTGGAGGTGTCACCTGGAGGTGTCCCTGCGTGCTCAGGGTGGGGATGTTCACAGCCTGGACTCGATGATCCCACAGGAATTTTCCCTCCTCATGACCCTGGGATTCTGTTTTGAGACAACAACTTTGCCTCAAAGGATCAGGGACACCTGGAGAGCTCCGGGCCAGGCTCTGTCCATCCCCTTGGCATCTGTGCCACCGTGGTGCCACCTCTGTGCCACCTCCGCTGGCTGCTGGGCACATTTGGGATGAGGGAAAGCTTGGGAGCTCCATCCCAGGCGTGCTTGGCTGAGGTGTGTCAGTGCCTGAGATAGCAGATCAAGAAATTGCTGCTTGCAACACCCCGGTGAGAGCCTTGCCCCGAGATCTGGGAGGGCTGAGCTGCTTCCCACAGCCACGGAATGGCTCTCCCAGCTGCAAAATTGGGGAGAAAATCCACCCTGGGAGGGTGGGGAGGCCCTGGCACTGATGATCCAAAGAATTCCTGGCTGCCCCATCCCTGGCAGTGCCCCAGGCCAGGTTGGAGCAGCCTGGGATGGAGAAAAGTGTGGAGCTGCTGGTTCCTTCCAACCTAAATATTCCATGATTCCCTGTGCTGGTTTGGATGGGGCATTGGGAATAAACCCTTCCCTGGAATTCCTGGAGAATCCCCATCCCTGGCAGTGCTCCAGGCCAGGTTTGAGCAGCCTGGGATGGAGAAAAGTGTGGAGCTGCTGATTCCTTCCAACCCAAATATTCCAGGATTCCCTGTGCTGGTTTGAATGGGGCATTGGGAATAAACCCTTCCCTGGAATTCCCAGAGAATCCCCATCCCTGGCCAGGCTGGAGCAGCCTGGCACAGCGGAAATGTCCCTGCCTTTGGGTGATTTCAAGGTCTCCCTCCAGCCAAGCCCACCCTGGCCTTCAGTGCCCTCAGACGCGCCGTTTCTGCCCCGCAGTGTGACCTCTCCCCGTGGGCCGTGAGCAGGGACGAGATCGATCGCTTCAGCAAGGAAAACGGATTTTCAGGATGGGTGGAGACGTCTGTGAAGGAGAACAAGAACATCCACGAGGCCATGAGGTGGGAGCTGTGTGCCAGGGGTCATTCCCTGCCCGGGGAGTGGAGCTGCCCCTGCCCCGGCACTGCCCGGGCCTCTTGGGTTTGTGGGGTTTTGTGTGTTCCTGTGTGGGTTTGTGGGGTTTTGTGCTTTTCTGTGTGTGTTTTTGTGTGTTCCTGTGGTTTTGTGTGTTTCTGTGTGTGTTTTTGTGTGTTCCTGTGGTTTTGTGCGTTTCTGTGTGGGTTTTTGTGTGTTCCTGTGGTTTTGTGTGTTTCTCTGTGTGTTTTTGTGTGTTCCTGTGGTTTTGTGTGTTTCTGTGTGTGTTTTTGTGTGTTCCTGTGTGGGTTTGTATGGTTTTTGTGTGTTTCTCTGTGTGTTTTTTATGTATTTCTCTGTGTGTTTCTGTGTGGGTTTGTGTGTGGTTTGTGTGTTTCTCTGTGTTTTTGTGTGTTTCTCTATGTGTTTGTGTGTTGGTGTATTTCTGTGTGTTTCTCTGTGGATTTGTGTGTGTTTTGTGTATTTCTCTGTGTGTTTTTGTGTGGGTTTGTGTGTTTCTCTGCGTTTCTCTGTGGGTCTGTGTGTGTTTTGTGTGTTTCTGTGTGGGTTTGTATGGTTTTTGTGTGTTTCTATGTGTCGGTTTGTATGTTTTTTATGTATTTCTCTGTGTGTTTTTGTGTGTTTCTGTGTGTGTTTTTGTGTGCTTCTCTGTGGGTTTGTATGGTTTTTGTGTGTTTCTCTATGTGTTTGTGTGTTTGTGTATTTTTGTGTGTTTCTGTATGGGTTTGTATGGTTTTGTATATTTCTCTGTGTGTTTCTGTGTGTTTGTGCGTGTTTTGTGTATTTCTCAGTGTGTTTTTGTGTGTTTCTGTGTAGATTTGTATGGTTCTTGTGTGTTTCTCAGTGTATTTGTGTGTTTCTCTGTGGGTTTTTGTGTGTTTCTCTGTGGGTTTGTATGTATTTCTCTGTGTGGTTTTTTGTGGTTTTGTGTGTTTCTCTATGTGTTTGTGTGTTTCTCTGGGAGTTTTTGTGTGTTTTTATGTGGGTTTCTATGGTTTTTGTATGTTTCTCTATGTGGTTTTTGTGTTTCTCTGTGTGTTTTTGTGCGTGTTTTGTGTGTTTCTCTGTGTGTTTTGTGTTTTTCTGTGTGTTTTGTGTGTTTCTCTGTGTATTTTTGTGTGTTTTTCTGTGTGTTTTTGTGTGTGGGCTGGGCAGGGCTGGAGCAGCCTGGCACAGTGGGAGGTGTCCCTGCCCTGTCCAGCTGCCAGTGCTGTCCCATTCCTTAACCTGATTTTTTTACTCATTTCCTGCACTTTATATCCTTCTGTGTGGGAAAATGCTCTTTTCTGGCTTAGAGATGGGGCAACTGAGAGGCATTTTATTAAAATAACTTTTATTTAAATCAAAATTTAAATAAAAATAATTAAATTAATATAACTTAAAATAAAAACATTTTTAAAAATTAAATACGATAAATTTAATTTAGATTAAATAAATATAATTTAAAATAATTCAAATTTTTTTTTTTATTTAAAAGTTTAAAAACTTTGATTCAAATAACCAAAAGGCTCCCAGTTGTTTATTTCCTGAGCCTTCGTGGGCTGCAGTCTCTGTGTCCAGGATGCTCCAGGCTCAGAGAAAGCCTCTTATTCCTCATTTGGGATATTCCTCATTTGGGATATTCCTCATTTGGAATATTCCTCATTTAGGAGTATTCCTCATTTGGGATATTCCTCATTTGGGATATTCCTCATTTGGGAATATTCCTCATTTGGCAGTGTTCCTCATTAGGAGTATTCCTCATTTGGGAATATTCCTCATTAGGAATATTCCTCATTTGGGAGTATTCCTCATTTGGGAGTATTCCTCATTTGGGAGTATTCCTCATTTGGGAATATTCCTCATTTGGAATATTCTTCATTTGGGAATGTTCCTCATTTGGGAGTGTTCCTCATTAGGAATATTCCTCATTTTCTCTGCTGCTCTGGTGGAGCACAATCCATGTCCAAGCAGTGCCTTGGATTATATTGAATTATATTTTTTTAAAATTCTGAGCACTTCCCCCTCTGGCAGTGCTGGCCCGGGCTGTCAGAGGGATTTTTTAACTTTCTGCACCTTTACCCCCTCCCTTTTGGGGACATTCCAGCAGTTTCCTCCCTCCCTGCTCTGGGGATTTGGGGATCCCTGCTGGATCTGTGTCCTGCAGGGACAGCAGTGCCCCAGAGCTGCTGGATGTGCATCAGCACTGTGGAATTCTGGGGTGAGCTGGGACCTGGAGCAGCACGACCCCCACTCCCCTGTGGAGCAGAGACCCCAAAATTTGGTCAGGAGCTGCCCCTGCCCTTCCTGGACCAGCACAATCCTCACAATTTGGGTTCTCCCTGTGGAGCAGAGACCCCAAAATTTGGTCAGGAACTGCTCCTGCCCTTCCTGGAGCAGCACAACCCTCACTTCCCTGTGGAGCAGGGATCCCGAAATTTGGTCAGGAACTGCTCCTGCCCTTCCTGGACCAGCACAATCCTCACAATTTGGGTGCTCCCTGTGGAGCAGAGACCCCAAAATTTGGTCAGGAATTGCTCTGCCCTTTCTGGACCAGCACAAACCTCAACCCTGTGGAGCAGGGATCCCAAAATTTGGTCAGGATTTTCTCCTGCCCTTCGTAGACTAGCACAATCCTCACTCCCCTGTGGGGCAGACACCCCAAAATTTGGTCAGGAACTGCTCCTGCCCTTCCTGGACCAGCACAATCCTCACTCCCCTGGGTTCTCCCTGTGGAGCAGACACCCCAAAATTTGATCAGGAGTTTCTCCTGCCCTTCTTGGACCAGCACAGCCCTCACTTCCCTGTGGAGCAGGGATCCCGAAATTTGGTCAGGAACTGCTCCTGCCCTTCCTGGACCAGCACAATCCTCACTATTTGTGTTCTCCCTGTGGAGCAGAGACCCCAAAATTTGGTCAGGAGTTTCTCCTGCCCTTCCTAGACCAGCACAAACCTCAACCCCTGTGGGGCAGAGACCCCAAAATTTTCAGGAACTGCTCTGCCCTTCCTGGACCAGCAGAAACCTCACAATTTGGGTTCTCACTGTGGAGCAGGGACCCCAAAATTTGATCAGGAGCTGCCCCTGCCCTTCCTGGACCAGCACAATCCTCACTATTTGTGTTCTCCCTGTGGAGCAGAGACCCCAAAATTTGGTCAGGATTTTCTCCTGCCCTTCCTAGACCAGCACAGCCCTCACTTCCCTGTGGAGCAGAGACCCCAAAATTTGATCAGGATTTTCTCCTGCCCTTTCTGAACCACAGCAAACCTCACTCCCCTGGGCTCTGCTTGTGGAGCAGAGACCCCAAAATTTGGTCAGGAGTTGCTGGGTCCTCCCTGAGCAGCAGAGACTCCAAAATTTGGTCAGGATTTTCTCCTGCCCTTCCTGGACCAGCACAATCCTCACTCTGTGCAGCAGAGACCCCAAAATTTGGTCAGGAATTGCTCTGTCCTTCCTGGAGCAGCACAATCCTCACTCCCCTGTGGAGCAGGGACCCCAAAATTTGGTCAGGATTTTCTGCTGCCCCTTTGTGGGCCAGGGTGAGGAGGGGGCTGTAAACCCCTTCTGTGGCCCCACAAAGGGCCCCTGGCACTTCTGGGCCAGCCCAAAGTGCTTTTGGCAAGTGCTGCTCAATTGCCTTCTGCATCCTCCTGCAGCCAGGAGGGAATTTTGGGGAGGAAACAGCTCCCTAAAAACCCCCCTGCTGTTTTAGTGAGCTGGGGAAGAGGGGGAGGAGGAGGGAAAAAGGAGTTTGTGGGATAAAAGGAAAGGAAGGAACCACTCCCCATTTCCCTGTGGTGCCTCTTTCCCCCAGTTATTGGTGGTGGAGAGCAGTTCTGGCCAAAAAATTGGTACAAATTGAGGAGAATTTTTAGGGAATTCACACTTTTCAGGGATTCAGTTTGTGGGTTTAATTCCCATTTCCCCCTGGTGCCACTTTCCCCCCTGCACATCCCAGGTCTGGGTGGTGGAGAGCAGTTCTGGCCTAAAAATTGGTACAAATTGAGGGAATTTTTAGGGAATTCACACTTTTCAGGGATGGAATTTTGTGGGTTTAATTCCCATTTTCCCTGTGGTGCCACTTTCCCCCAGATATTGGTGGTGGAGAGCAGTTCTGGCCTAAAATTCTGTACAAATTGAGGAGAATTTTTAGGGAATTCACACTTCAGGAATTCAGTTTGTGGGTTTAATTCCCATTTCCCCCTGGTGCCACTTTCCCCCCTGCACATCCCAGGTCTGGGTGGTGGAGAGCAGTTCTGGCCTAAAAATTGGTACAAATTGAGGGAATTTTTTAGGGAATTCACACTTCAGGAATGGAGTTTTGTGGGTTTAATTCCCATTTTCCCTGTGGTGCCACTTTCCCCCAGATATTGGTGGTGGAGAGCAGTTCTGGCCTAAAAATTGGTACAAATTGAGGGAATTTTTTAGGGAATTCACACTTCAGGAATGGAGTTTTGTGGGTTTAATTCCCATTTTCCCTCTGGTGCCACTTTCCCCAGTTATTGGTGGTGGAGAGCAGTTCTAGCCAAAAAAAATTGGTACAAATTGAGGGAATTTTTTAGGGAATTCACACTTCAGGAGTGGAGTTTTGTGGGTTTAATTCTGGATTTGCTCTTCCATGATTTTTTCATGGAACACAAATCACCCTGCTCACGTTTTGGGTTTAGATTTCAGAAAAAAAGCCTTCAATAATTGGGTTTTTTTTACCTCCTTAACTGGGAAACAGGACTGGAAATTGCTGTGTCCTGGTTCCTGCTGAATTAGGGAAATTTTTCCTCCTGCCTGTCTCACATAGAGGGATTTTACAGTTTTTACCTTCACTAAAAAAAATCTGAGTTTTCATTCTCTGGAGCTGAAAAGAATTTAAAACTAAACAGTGAGGGTCAAGAAATTTAGAATTATTTGTGCTGCACTTTTTAATGCAAAGCTGAAATACCAGGGCAAATATTGCCAAATTTGGGGTTATAGGTGCTTAAAAATACCATTTTCTGCACCCAGGGAGAACTGGTTTGCATCTAAATGGAAGTGCCTTGATGAATTTTACTTCATTGTCTTAAACAAAAAAAAAACCCAAAAAAACAAACAAACAAAAAAAAAAAAAAAAAAAAAAAAAAAAAAAAAAAAAAAAAAAAAAAAGGATTTTAATCCTACAAATATTTAATCCTATAAATATTTCTGGTTTTTTTTTAGAACACCAGAGAAGTGCCTGATTTTTTTAAGGAGCTGCCACGAAACCCCTTCAGATTCAGGTGTTATTTATTGATTTTTGTACTTGCACTGTTTCAGCCAAGAGCTCTCCTCAGAGCTGGAAAATCCAGGCTCAGAGCAGCTGAAAATTCCCAATTCCTGCTCCATCCAATGGAGCTCAAGCAGAGCTTGAAATGCCCCCAAATGACCCAAAAATTGGAATTTCTCCTATAAATCTGGCCAGATTTGTATCATCGGGATAAAACTGGACGTTTCTTTGGATAAAATCTTATTTTTAAACAAAAAAAAATGCAATTTTTTAAATCTATTTCACGGCATTTGTGTGCTGCCCTTGGGTTTCCAGTGCCCAGGTGTGCCTTGGGGAGGTTGTTTTTCCACATTTCCTGTTGGTTAACTTGTGAAAAAAAAGTCAAATAAAACCCCCAGGAGCTGCAGAAAAGGAAGAGTCGTTGCTTGAGCTGAGTGTGAACCCAAACCAGGCAGGAAAACGAATTCCCTGGGCAGCTCTGGGGGTTTGCAGAGATCTCCCCGTGCTTAAAAAACCCAAATAAACCCAAAAAAGTGCCCCTGGATTAAACCAGATTCTGGTGGGAGGAGCAGGGGAGGTGCCCAGCTGAAATAATTCTGGTTTTTAAACCCCAAAATTATGTTTAAATTCTAATTGAAATTATAATTTCAAAATTTAAATTAAAAATAAAAATAAATTATATTTTAAAAAATTTAAACCCAGAATCGCTAAAAAATTATTATAAAAATTGTAATTCTATTTTAAAAAATGAAACCCAGAATTATTAAAAATATTACTTAAATTATTATATTTGAAAATTTTTAAACCCAGAATTATTTTTTTAATTATTGTTTTTAAAATATTATTATATTAAAAAAATTTAACACCCACAATTATTTTTTACATTATTATTTTTAAATTATCATTATATTAAAAATTTTAAACCCAGAATTATTAAAAATTATTATTAAAAATTGTCATTATATTCTAAGATTTTTAAACCCAAAATTGTTGCTATTATTAAAATTACATTTAAAAATTTTAGACCCAGAATTATTAAAATTATTATTAAATTTATTATATTTAACATTTTAAAACCCAAAATTATTAATAATATTATTTTAAATTATTATTATATTTTAAAATTTTAAACCCCAGAATTATTTTTTTAAAATAATGGAAGGGGAAAGCCAAAAAATGGCTTCATTGAACTTTTGTTGATGCAGGTGGGTAAAAACCTGAATCTTCCAAATAGGAATCAGAAATTATCTTTATTCTCCTTCAGAATTTCCACTCCTGCCTCGTCAGGAATGAGGATATTGGGGAATTTTGGGGAAAAAAAGGAATTTCCTTTTCCCTGCGTTCACTCCGTGCCCTCTGTGTGACTCTGTTCCATTTCCTGCTCCTTTTTCCTTCCTGGAATTTCAATTTTTATCCCAAAACCCCAGGAATTTCCAGGTGTTTTTTGTGCCTTGGTGGCTGCACTTGGTTTCTTCACACAGCTGGAGAATTTTACTGCGGCCTCAATAAGTCAAAAATATCAAAATTCAGCTTTTATTTTGTTTTTTTTAAATTTTTTTTAATTGCTTTTATTTTTTTTTTAAGTTTTTTTTAATTTCTTGCTGTTTCACTGAAGTATTTCAGAGGCAGGGTCCTGACCAGTGTGAAATTCAGTATTATGGGTGTGTAAAGAGGAAAAAAAAATGGATTTTAATCCACACCAATATCACTGGGGCAGCATTGCAAGGGTTTGGAATAAAAATGGGGCATTGCTGGCTGGTGGTTGTTGTTCTGCTGTCTCAACAGTGCTGAAAATTGAGTTTACAAGCTGAAATTAGGAATAAAAACAACAAAAAATTATAAAAAATGCGGTGTGGAGTGCCCTGCAGTGCCAGGAAAACAAATTCCTCTGAAATAGCCCAAAAAACAAACAAACAAACAGAAAACCAAACAAAAAAAAACCCCAAAAAACCCCAAAGAAACAAAAAAGAAAAAACAACCCCAAAGAAAAGAAAAAGGAAAAAAATATAGCAATGAAAATCACAAATATACATCCAAAAAATCCAAATACACACTCAAAAATCCCAAATGCACACCCAAAAAAACCCAAATACACACCCAAAAAAACCCAAACAAAACCCTCCAAACAAAAAAAAAACCCCTGAAAAATAAAAAAAACCACCCCAAAAACAACCCAAAAAACCCAAACAAAACCCTCCAAACAAACCAAACAAAAAAACCCCTGAAAAATAAAAAACCACCCCAAAACCAACCCAAAAAACCCAAACAAAACAAAACAAAAAAGAAAAAAAACCTCAAATACACACCCAAAAAAAAACCCCAAAAAAAGGCCCCAAACAAACAAGAAAATAAAATTTCAAAACCCCAAACCCCGAATGAACTCAGCTGAAATATCCTCAATTATTGCATTTTTATTGGGCTACATAAAAATGCAAAACTTTTCACCTCAGTGGGGTTGGATTCAAAATTTGCAGCGAGGAATTCCTTGATGTGGTTTCTGCTCCTTCCTCCTGGGGCTCCGTAATTCCGTGTGTTTTGGGCCTCTTTATTCCCAGTAAAATGAAATTATAAAGGTAAAAATTAATGATAGAAATAAAATAAAAATAAAGGAAATTAAATTATAAAAGTTAGTGCCAAAAATAAAATGAAAATAAATCAATTTATGGATAAATTAAAGATAAAACTAAAAATTAATGATAGAAATAAAATAAAAATAAAGGAAATTAAATTATAAAAGTTAGTGCCAAAAATAAAATGAAAATAAATCAATTTATGGATAAATTAAAGATAAAACTAAAAATTAATGATAGAAATAAAATAAAAATCAATTAAATTAAATGATACAAATAAAAATTTATGCTAAAAATAAAATAAATTTATAGGTAAATTAAAAGATAAAAATAAAAATTAATGATACAAATAAAACTAAAAATTAATGACAGAAATAAAATAAAAATAAATGAAATTAAGATATAAATTAAAAATGATGCTAAAAATAAAATAAATTTATAGATAAATTAAAAGATAAAAATAAAAATTAATGATACAAATAAAATAAAAAATAATGAAATTAAATTAATTCTAAAAATAAAATTTAAAAATAAACTATAAAATAAAAATTAATTATAAAAATAAAATAAAAATACAGGAAATGATAATTATTGCTAAAAATAAAAATAAATTTAAAAGATAAAATAAAAATTATAAAAATGGAAATGAATTAAATGATAAAATAAAATAAATAAAATTAAATTATAAAAATAAAAATCCACTGCCCCCAGGGCTGATAAAACCCCAGCGTGAGACGTGCTGAGAACAGGAAATTGTGGGGATTTATAATAAATTTCATTTAACCCCAAAACGCAGCCTGGTTTGGCTGCAGGAGGAAATAATTGGGAAAATCCTCTGGAAGTGCGGAAAATCCTCCGGGACAGCGCTGGCCCCGCGGGCGCTGCCCCGACCCCGGCGCTGTCGCGATAGGGAGGCGACAAAAGCCAGAAAAACAAACAAATCCGGGGGGAAAGAGGGAAAGAATCCCTAAACAAACAAACAAAAAAACACCAGGAAAAACTCTAAAAAAAACCCCAAAAATAAGCCCAAAAACAACCCAAAAATCCCAAACAAAAAAGAAAAAAAAATCTCAAATACACACTCAAAAAATCCCAAATAAACACTCAAAAAACCCAAATAAACACCAAAAAAATCCCAAATAAACACTCAAAAAAACCAAATAAACACCCAAAAAACCCCAAATAAACACCCAAAAAAAATCCCAAATGCACTCCCAAAAAACCCAAATAAACACCCAAAAAAACCCAAATGCACACTCAAGACATCCCCCAATGCACACCCAAAAAAAAAATCCCAAATAAACACCCCAAAAAACCCAAATAAGCACCCAAAAAAAATCCCAAATGCACTCCCAAAAAACCCAAATAAACACCCAAAAAAACCCAAATGCACACTCAAGAAATCCCCCAATGCACACCCAAAAAATCCAAATAAACAGCCCAAAAAAAATCCCAAATACACACTCAAAAAATCCCAAATGCACACCCAAAACCCCCCCAATACACACCCAAAAAAAATCCCAAATAAACACCCAAAAAACCCAAATAAACACCCAAAAAAAATCCCGAATACACACCCAAAGAAACCCCCAATACACACCCAAAAAGCCCAAATAAACACCCAAAGAAACCCCAATACACACCCAAAAAACCCAAATACACACCAAAAAAAATCCCGAATACACACCCAAAGAAACCCCAATACACACCCAAAAAACCCAAATAAACACTCAAAAATATCCCAAATGCACCCAAAAAACCCAAATAAACACTAACAAAACCCAAATAAACACCCAAAAAGCCCAAATAAACACCTTAAAAAATCACAAATACACACCAAAAAAACCCAACAAAACCTCCCAAACAAACCAAATGACAAAAAAACCAAACCAAAAACCAACTTCAAAAACAACCCCAAAAAAAAACAAAACAAAAGGGAAAAGAAACCCCAAATACACACCCAAAAAACCCAAATAAACACTCAAAAATCCCAAATATGAACCCAAAAAACCATAAGACACACCAAAAAAAATTCCAGATACACACCCAAAAAAACCCCAAGTACAGAAACCCAAATAAACCCCAAAAAACCCAAATACACATCAAAACACACCAAATACACACCCAAAAACCCCAAAAAAACTCAAATACACACCCAAAAAACCCAAATATGAACCCAAAAAACCATAAGACACACCAAAAAAAATTTCCAGATACACACCCAAAAAAACCCAAATACACACCCAAAAAAATCTTAAACATCCCAAATACGCACTCAAAAAAACCCAAATAAATCCCAAATACACACCCAAAAAATGAACCCAAAAAACCCAAATACACACCAAAAAAAATTCCAGATACACACCCAAATAAATCCCCAATACACACCCAAAAAAAACCCCAAAAAAACCAAATACACATCAAAATACACCAAATACACACCCAAAAAACCCTCAAATACGCACCCAAAAAAAATTTTAAGAATCCAATACGCACTCAAAAACACCCAAATAAACACCCAAAAAAACCCCAAAAAACCAAATACACATCAAAAAAAAACCCTAAATACACACCCAAAAAAAACCCCCCAAAAAACCAAATACACACCTAAAAAAACCCCAAATACACACTCAAAAAAAACCAAATACACACCCAAAAAAACCCAAATGCAAAAACCCAAATAAACCCCAAATACACAGCCAAAAAAACACAAAAAACCAAATACACATCAAAAAAACCCAAATAAACCCAAAAAAATCCCAAATATGAACCCAAAAAACCATAATACACACCAAAAAAATTCCAGATACACACCAAAAAAACCCCCAAAAAACCCCAAATACACACCCAAAAAAAATTTTAAAAATCCCAAATAGGCACTCAAAAAAACCCAAATAAACACCCAAAAAAATCCCAAATAAACACCCAAAAAAACCCAAATACACACCAAAAAAAACCCAGAAAACCCAAATACACACCGAAAAAAAAACCCCAAAAAACCAAATACACATCAAAAAAACCCAAATAAACCCAAAAAAATCCCAAATATGAACCCAAAAAACCATAATACACACCAAAAAAATTCCAGATACACACCAAAAATCCCCCAAAAAACCCCAAATACACACCCCAAAAAAAATTTTAAAAATCCCAAATAGGCACTCAAAAAAACCCAAATAAACACCCAAAAAAATCCCAAATAAACACCCAAATAAATCCCAAATACACACCCCAAAAAAACCCCAAAGAACCAAATACACACCAAAAAAACCCAAATACACACCAAAAAAACCCCAGAAAACCCAAATACACACCCAAAGAAAAACCCAAAAAACCAAATACACACCCAAAAAAACCCAAATACACACCCACAAAAACCCAAATGCAAAAACCCAAATGAACCCAAAAAAATCCCAAATAGGAACCCAAAAAACCATAATACACACCAAAAAAAATTCCAGATACGCACCCAAAAAACCCCAAATGCAAAAACCCAAAAAACCTCAAATAAACCCCAAATACACACCCAAAAAAACCCCAAAAATCCAAATACACATCAAAAAAACCCCAAATACACACCCAAAAAAACCCCCAAAAAATCAATAAAATAAAATTTAAAATACCAAACCCCAAATTAACTCAGCCGAAACATCCTGAATTATTGTGTTTTTATCGAGCTACATAAAAATGAAAATTTTGGGCACCTCAGGGGGTTTGATTGGATATTTGCAGACAGGAATTCCCTGCTGTGGTTCCTGCTCCTAAATTCCGTGTGTTTTGGGCCTCTTGGTTCAGGAAAACGGCCAAAATTCCAAAGGGATTCCAATAAAATCACGCAGGGTTTGCAAAATCATCCAAAAATTGGAATTTCTCCTGTAAATCCGGTGATGTTTGTGTCATCAGTCCGTCTTCTCACTGTGTAAAAATAGGATTTAAATGGGATTTTTATTAAAATGGAGGCATGGACATCCCAGGAACAAAATGCAAAGCAGAAGTGAGAAGCTGCAGTTTAACGGTTGTGGAATATTTTTAATTTTTTCATGGTTTTTTCATGTATTTTTTCTCCCCAGAATGAGGGATTTTGGGGGGTTGGAGGGAATTTAAAGTGTAAAAAAATCAAATATCTTCAGTTGGGCTTTGCGTGAATTGCGTTGGCCAGCGCAGGGGAAACGGTGCTGGTGAAAAAACCCCAAATTATAATTTCTGCTATAAATCTGATAATATTTGTATCATTAATCCATCTTCTCACAGTTCCCAGTGTGTAAAAATAGGATTTAAATTCTATTTTCACTAAAATGGAGGGATGAACCTCCAAAGACCAAAATGCAGAGCAAAATAGAGAGGCTTCATTTTAATGACTGTGGAATAATCTTAATTTTTCCGTGGTTAAAGCGTCCCCTTTCCTCACCCAAATGAGTAATTTTTGGGATTTCTGGCGAGTTTAAAGTGCAAAAAAATCCCAAATCTTCATTGGACTTTGCATGAATTGTGCGTGTACTTAACTGCTGGCTCGCACAGGGAGAAGTGGCATCAGTGACGTCAGTGCTGGTGTCAAAATCTGCCGCTGACACCGAATTTTTGCATTTTTTTATAATAAAAATTAATTACTCTGAACCCGCGCCCGGGGCCGCGTTTTCCCTCCAAAACCGCGCCGGGCCCGCGCGGCGAATCTGCGGCTCGGGCCTTGAGGCGCCGCAGCGCCTCGAGAAATTCCAGGAGAAACGGGAAAAAATTCCGGCGTGGCGGCGGTGACGGAGGGACGCGGCGGGAGCGGTGGGCGCAGCGGGAAGGGGCGCGGAGGAGCCGCGGCGGCACCGGGAGCCCGTGGCGAATCTGCCGCCGGAGCTCCGCCGCGTGCGGGCCGCGCTGCCCGCCCTCCCCGCGGGGACAGTGGGCGGGCCCTGCGCGCCGTGATGGTTCGAACGAGCCAATGGGGCGCGGGCTCTCGCGGGCCCTAACCAATCGGCTGGCGAGGGGGGCGTGACCGGCGGGGTCGGCGGCACCGCCCCCCCGCTCGCATCCTCTCGGCGGGGCGAGCGCGACCATTTTGCGGGGGGGAGCGGCGGGAGCGGGACCGGCACCGACACCGGGACCGCCACAGGGCTCAGGGAGCGACAGCGGGATCGGCGCCGGGGCCGGCATCGGGGAGCGGCACCGGGGGCGGCGGCGGCGCCTGACGGGGGAGCGGCGGCTCCGCAGGCGCGGCCTGAGGCGCTGGGCCCAGCGCTCCCGCTCGCTCCGGGCGGCCTCAGCGGCCCCGGCGGCCTCCGCGTCCCCGTTTGCTCCGCGCCCGGCCCCGCGCGGCCCGAAGCGCCGGGAGGATGTCGCGGCCCGTCAGGTGAGTCCCGGCGGCGCCGCTCCCGCCGGGCCGGCCCCGCGCAGGGCAGGCCGCGCTCGGGGCAGGCCGTGCCGATTTCTCCTCTATTTCCCCTTGTTTCTCCCCGCTAACTCGGCCGGGCCACCGCCATCAACACCGCGTTTCGCGCCGCGCCGCTCAACCGGGCCGCGGCGGGGCGGCCCCGCGGCCGCTGTCCCACATTTTGTAACGGGGGGGGAAAAAAGGGGATTTTTTTTTTTTTTTTTTTCTCCGCCGCCGCCGTGACCCAGTTGGCGCGGGGCGGGCGCCGCTCTGGCCGCGATCCGCGGCCCCCTCCGGGCGGCGGGGCCGGGCCGAGCACGCTGCCGGGGGAGGGGACGCGGTGCCATCCGGCGAGGGTCCGGGGCACGGGGGCTGTGCATGGGGAACCACGCGTAGGGGAGGAGCCGGCAGGAGCCGCCCCCTCGGTGCGAGCGGCGCCGCCGCACGCCCCGCTCCGCCCGGCCGCCCGCGGGCTGCGCGCTCCGGGCTCGCCTCGCCGCTGCTCTTTTCGCCCTTTGCTTCTCGTTTCCGAGCCTTTGGCGGCCGCGCTGGGCTGTGCCAGGTGGGATGGAGCGTGGTGGCTTTGGGGAGGTGGTGCCCGAGGGAAGGGCTGCGGCTGTGGTCGCCGGGGGTGGTTGGGGAAGGGTTTGGGGTGTTTATTCTCCCTGAGGGTGCTGGGCGCTGCTCAGGGTCCCCGGGGAATGGGCACGGCCGCAGAGCTGCGGGAGTGTTTGGACAGCTCTGCCAGGGATGCCCAGGGTGGGATTTTGGGGTGTTTGTGCAGGGCCGGGAGTGGCACTGGATGATCCTGGTGAGTCCATTCCTATCCAGGATATTCTGTGATTCCCTCGGGTGTCAAAGCTTTGCCGAGGAGGTGGCAAAAGCGTGCACTTGTGATTTAAGGTGTCTTCATGGCAAAGGTGTGAGGTTTCCCACGGCGTTCTTGTAATGCTTTGGAATTTCTTCATTCTCAAGTGACTGGCTGGAGTTTCATCCCAGTTGGAGTTTTCATGTTTTATTCCCAGTGAGCCTGGGCTGGGCTGTGGATGTTGAGTATTTTAGCTAATGTAACTAATAGGCACAAATTAATTGTGACAATGATGCATCTATGCGTTTAGAGGTGACAGCATTTGGATTTAAGTAACATCTCTTATAATGCAGAATTTAAAATAGAAATGGAACCCAGGACTGCTTTGCTGAGTGTGGGAGTGGCTCAGTGCTGGGTGAGCTGCCCAAATTAGTGGTGATGTGACTCTGCTGCCTGAGGGGACACTTCAGTGTTAGAGATTTCCTCCAGGTCAGGAAGGGCTGCTGTCTTGAAAAACAGAGACTCTGAGCTTGCTGGAATTAAGTATTTTTGCGAGAGTTTATAAAAAAAATGATTAAAATAAAACACCTCTGTCCAGTCCTGGAATGTTGTGAGAGGTCTGCCTGCTGTCAGCCTCTGCTGAAAATGAAGCACCAAAGTCCAGCAGGTTGTTGGGAGCACAAAACCTCCTGGCACGGGGCAGGATAGAGGCAGCAGTCCCTTATCTCCCTGGGTTTAATAGCCCTTCCAGGGGAAAAAAGGTAAATATTCGGTGCCTGCTAAGTTATATTGCTCTGCTAGCTAGAAAACCCTGTCTACAGATTCCAATCCATTCACAAATTAATGCTGGGATGAAGTTTTGTCTGCCTGTCTTTGCTGGTTTTTGGTGAAATGGAAGCCTGGTGAAAGGTTCTTCATCAGAGATGTCGTGGTGGGAGAGTTTTCCTCCAGTCAGTGTTCTTTGAATTAACTGCTCTTGTCTGCTGCTTTCTGGTGAATACGTGTGCACCTGAAGCAGTGAACTTCATCAAATCCATCCCATATCCCAAGTTTTTACTCCACTTGTTGAGAAAATTGACCTGAGGCTGAGTCTGGCTGTTAATTCAGTTATTTAAAATTAAGTAGTAATAAAGTGCTGGTATTTACAGGCTCCATGTGGCTGGCACTGAGAGCCAGGTTCTTCTGCACAATTCCATTTCTCCTGGGTGGATAATGATGGGGTTTTCTCCTAGAAAAAGGCAAGGAGTAAAAACTAAAGGAACCTGAAATTACTGAACTTCTGCATCTCCTGTGTAACTCTGCTGAAGTTTTGCAAAGAGAGCTGGGGTTGCTTCCAGAGCTAAAATGAAATGTAATACTTGAAGCCACTATTTTTTATATATACAGCATCAATTCATGTGTTTAAAGTCAGAGTTCTGACTTCTGGTGCAGCTTTTCTTCTGCTTTTTCTCACTGGTCACTTTTACTTGCTTGTCTTCTGTAAATTGAGCTGTTGTGGGCAGGGCTGGGAATCCCGGGGGCTTTTTGGTCATTCATTTTAACCTTAAAGCCAGTTATGAGTTTATCTCAGTGCTTCAAGGCTTTGCATCTTTCATTTTTCTGGGTTTGAATCCCAGCCTGCTGTTGGCACTGCAGTGGAAGGGTGAAATTTTACTATTAAATGTAACTTGTTGCCAGTGTTGGCACTGGGCAAGGTAAAGTAGAAATAATTGTGATTGTGGAAAGGTTTCTGTGGGATTGCAGGCAAGGAGCAGTTCCTTGGGGGATTGGCACTTAATAAAATTGAGGGATGCTGTGTGGTCCAGATGAAGAAAAAGGTGATTCTTGCTCTCTTTCAGTCTGAGGAGAAACAGAAAGGTGGTGGAGGTACCAGGAAATTCAGAATACCAGGGTGGGGGAGTGAGCTGGGTGTTTGGGTTTGGTTCCTCTCCTTCTCTGCATCATTTCTGTAAAATCTCAATTCTGGTTAAAATCACATAGAGAAAGAGCACAAGGCTGCTTTAATTATTGCTGCAGAAATCGTTGGATTGTTTTGTGAGCCCTGAAAATCCTGCAGAAGCTGAAGTGGGCAGTCAGGCCAGACCCAGATCTGAGCTCTGTAGTGGGACCCTCTCAGTGGTGAGTCCCGAGCCCAGTTTTTACCCAGTTAACCCCAGAGTGACCTGGTTTGGGTCCCTGCCTGTCACCAGGTGCCCTGTGCCACCTTCTGCTGGTGATCTTAAATCAGTGCTCATGGAAATCCCAAATCCAACACTGCAGATTTGCTTTGCACTGCTCTGAAAATCCCTGCAGGAAACACTTCTGGCTGGAATTTGTGTTTTCTTTGTATAAAAAAATCTACCCAAAAGTGATTTTAGTGGCAATATTTGTGATGATATTGGTCTCACCTTTACCTGGAAGTGAAACCTGACTGCTGAGCCAGCCCTGAGGGTCAGGAGGGGCTGGAGCTTTGTTCAGAAATGCTGAGGATTTTTGGTTACATTGCTTAAATCAAGGTTGTGCTGAAAAAACCACACCAAAACCTCAACAACCATTGAATCTCCTTGCCTTTGCTCTGTTGCATTGAGGGTGGGTGGTTGGGTTTGACCTAAACATTCTCTTCAGTGCCTGGATTTTTGAAGACTCCTTTCAGCATTGCTTTGCAGGATTGCATGTTGTGGGATTTTTTTAAAATGTGGGTTTTAATACCTGTACAAATACCTGGGAATCTGTGCATTCCCTTAAAAAAACCCCAAAACTTTCTATCTGATTGTAGGGCTGTGCTGATGTTGATTTAAAAGCTGAGGGTTTAAGGACTGAACTGAAGATGTGATGTGAGGATGACATTTTTTTCTCAGTTTTATGGACATTTAGTGATCCTCTGACATGTTGATGTTGCATTTCATCTGTGCATTCTCTTAAAAAACCCCAAAATGTTTCTATCTGATTGTAGGGCTGTGCTGATGTTGATTTAAAAACTGAAGGTTTAGGGACTAAATTGAAGATGAGGTATGAGGATGACATTTTTTTTTACAGTTTAATGGGCATTTAGTGATCCTTTGACACGTTGATGTTGCTTTCCATAATTCCAAAATTGCACTTTGGCAGGCATCAAGTGCAGGTTGCAAAAATTTCTGTGCATTTCTGAGCTGTAGTTAAATTACTGGAGAATTACTGCACTGAGTGCTTCCTTCCTACATGTTGATGAGCTCCTGTTTATTCCAAAAACTGACAGCTGTTATTAAAAACTTATCTGTGAACTTTTTTACATGCACACTTTGTGTTAATGTGAATCAGCAAGGAAGCTACCTTCAAATTTAATTGATATTTCAAACCCCCCTGATCAATGCCCGTCCCCTTTAAGTTTATATTTTAACCCCCCCGATCAATGCCCATCCCCTTTAAATTTATATTTTAAACCACACTGATCAATGCCCATCACCTTTATATTTATATTTTAAACCACACTGATCAATGCCCATCACCTTTAAATTTATATTTTAAACCCCCTGATCAATGCCCATCCCCTTTAAATTTATATTTCAAACCACACTGATCAGTGCCCATCCCCTTTAAATTTATATTTTAAACCACACTGAACAATGCCCATCCTATTTAAATTTTAAACCACACTGATCAATGCCCATCCCCTTCAAATTTATATTTATATATTAACCCCCCCTGAACAATGCCCATCCCCTTTAAATTTATATTTATATATTAACCCCCCCCGAACAATGCCCATCCCCTTTAAATTTAAATTTATATTTTAAACCACACTGAACAATGCCCATCCTATTTAAATTTTAAACCACACTGATCAATGCCCATCCCCTTCAAATTTATATTTATATATTAACCCCCCCCGAACAATGCCCATCCCCTTTAAATTTAAAATTATGTTTTAAACCACTCTGAACAATGCCCATCCTATTTAAATTTCAAACCACACTGATCAGTGCCCATCCCCTTTAAATTTATATTTAACCCCCCCTGAACAATGCCCATCCCCTTCAAATTTCTATTTCTATTTTAAACCCCCCTGAACAATGTCCACCCCGTTTAAATTTCAATTTCAGACCACCCTGAACAGTGCCCATCCCAGTCTCTTTTAGCTCAGCCTGAGTGGATTTAAGAGTTTCTTTTTCTCTCTGCTGGGACATGAGAGAGGCTCTCCAGTGCCACATTTCCCACTGATCTTCCCCAGAGTTTTTATCACCTTGCTGTCGTAAACACTGCAGGCTCTGTGCAGCTATTGCTGCAGAATAATGAAATAAATAACTAATCAAATCAAATCGAAGCTGGCTGGGCTGAAAGAGGTGAAAGATGAGTTTGGAGTCAGGGCAGGAGCTGCTTGGTTCTCTCTGAGCTTCTCTGGTGCTGTTGAAGATTTATTTGCAGCTTTTTATCTTCAGTGGTATCAGTGCAGAGATTGCTCCTTTGCTCCACCCTGGGAGATAAGATAATGCAAGGAGTCACTTTTGGTTTCTTCTGAAACATTGATTTTTAAGTTATTTTTTAAAATAAAAATATCACTTTCTGCAAGGAATCTGCTTCACTTTTGGTTTCCTCTGAAATACAAAATTTTTTTTTTTAGTACAAAATTCTGCTTTTTTCACCCTGTTTATGCTTTCACACGAAAAAGCCCCAACACTTGATACATAAAATCAGACTTCTTATTTAATAACTGAATTATTCTTCTGATGCTTATGGGAATAAAATTCATCTTTTCGCTTTTGGTATCTTCTGAAACAATTATTTTAAATTTTTTTTTATACAAATATCAGTTTCTGCAAGGAAACAGCTTCACTTTTGGTTTCTTCTGAAAGAGTGATCTTTAATTTATTTTTTTAAATACAAATCTCACTTTCTGATGGTGCTGGGGAAGGGATGTTTTTGGTAAAGGATCTTTGCCACAGCTACAATTCCTGTAAATGCTGCCACTGTCACTTTCCCAGCACCTGATTTAATGTGTCTCTGAAGGAAGCAAGGTGGAAAAACTGCCCTTTCCATCTTTAGTAGCTCAGTGATGCCTAAAAGTGTTGTTTATTTCTGGAAATTCTGCTTTTTTGTGCTTTTACATTAAAAAAAATACTTGATACATCAAATCAGATTTCTTACTAAATAACTTAATTATTCTTCTGATGCTTATCAGGATAAAATTCATCAGATGCAACCTTCAGGAAGGCTCCTTGTTGGAATAGGAGGAAATCAAAAATTGCCAATAATTGGGTCCCTAAATTGGAATTTTACCACGCTCAGCCTGAGGGAGAGACCAGTGCCCGCTGCTGTTGGACTGTGTTCCTCTGCAGAGCTTGGGTGGGCTTCAACCTGTACAAATCTTGTCTTATTTGTCTTTTTTTTGGTATTTTTGGGGTGCTTTTTAAGAGATTAATTTGATTTTTTTGGGTTTTTAAGAGGTTTGGGTTGAAATAAAACCAGTTTGGCTCCTTCATCCTTCTGTAAGCCATGAGTTCAAGGTGCTCAGGACAAACTTGATTTACCTGTACAAATCTTGCCTTCCTTTCATTTGGTATTTTTGGGATGTTTTTGAGGGATGGGTTTCATTTTTTGGTTTTTAAATTTCTTTAAAAGATTTGGGTTGAAATAAAACCAATTTTGCTCCTTCATCCTTCTGTAAGCCATCAGTTCAAGATGCTCAGGAGGACAAACTTGATTTACCTGTGCAAATATTGTCTTCCTTTCATTTGTCTTTTTTTTTTTTTGTATTTTTGGGGTGTTTTTAAGGGATTAGTTTAATTTTTTGGGGTTTTTAAGAGGTTTGGGTTGAAATAAACCAGTTTTGCTCCTACTGTAAGCCATCAGTTCAAGATGCTCAGGAAAACAACTTAAACTTGATTATTGATGGATCAGCCCTGCTGGCTTTGGGGTGTCTTTGAACTGAGCAGGTTTATCAGCAATTAGTGATAATTAATTAATTGACAGTGAATGGAGCTCAGTGTGAATTGTGCTGAGAGCAGGAGAAGAGGAGGAGGAGGAGGATGAGGAAGGATCCTTGTGCTGGGTGCAGCTCCCAGCTGAAGAACTGAGCTCACGTGGTGATTGCTGCAAAATCCCATTTATCCTTGGCTTTGGGCCAGAAGGGCTGGAAAAAGGGACTCTGGGAATCTCTGTGTTCCCAGCCCCTGTCAGCCCTTCCAGGACTGACAGGAGTCTGACTTGGAGGAACTGTCAGCTGGAATCTCATTGGTTTTGTTTAATTTTATTGGCTGCCTTGGTTTGCTTTGCTCGCTGATTTATAGGGAAGTTATCTTGGCAGTAAAACAGCTGGGAGTTGATACTTTATCAATAAAACAGCTGGGAATTGATACTTTATCAATAAAAGAGCTGGGAATTGATATCTTGTCAGTAAAACAGCTGGGAGTTGATACTTTGTCAATAAAACAGCTGGGAATTGATATCTTGTCAGTAAAACAGCTGGGAATTGGAATTGATACTTTATCAATAAAAGAGGTGGGGTTTGATACTTTATCAATAAAACAGCTGGGAATTGATACTGTATCAATAAAAGAGCTGGGAATTGATACTTTATCAATAAAAGAGCTGGGGTTTGATACTTTATCAATAAAAGAGCTGGGAATCGATATCTTGTCAGTAAAACAGCTGGGAATTGATACTGTATCAATAAAAGAGCTGGGAATTGATACTTTATCAATAAAAGAGCTGGGGTTTGATACTTTATCAATAAAACAGCTGGGAATTGATATCTTGTCAGTAAAACAGCTGGGAATTGATACTGTATCAATAAAAGAGCTGGGGTCTGATACTTTATCAATAAAAGAGCTGGGAATTGATATCTTGTCAATAAAATAGCTGGGATTTGATGTCTTGTCAATAAAACAGCTGGGAGTTGATACTTTTATCAGTAAAACAGCTGATTTGGTACTTTATCAATAAAAGAGCTGGGAGTTGATACTTTATCAATAAAAGAGCTGGGAGTTGATACTTTATCAACAAAACAGCTGGGGTTTGATACTTTATCAATAAAAGAGTTGGGATTTGATGCCTTGTCCACAAAGCAGCTGGGATTTGATGGACAAGGTGCTGATAAAATCCCCAACGATTCCATTTTGGAGCTTGCAGAAAGTTGAAGAGGCAGATTTGATTTTGTTGACTTCCAGGTCGGTGTAAGTCGTTCAGAAAGCTCCTGGAAACCCCAGTGAGCTTCAAGTGCTTTCAGAACAGGGATCATGTGGGAAAACAAAAATTGGGGGAGAAGGTGTGACAGCAGGTGAGGAGCAGAAATTCCAAAAGGAGCAGTCTGGAAACGTTTGATTCATAATCTTTGTGTATTTATAAAAACAATGTTCACATTCTGAGATGCAATCCAGATTATTATAAAATCCCCTCAGGAAAATGCTGTTTATGCTTTAATGTACTTTGTGTTCACTCCTGACTGCAGAGGTGGAGGTGGCTGAATTGTCCAAGTTTTCTTGAGATGTTTTTGGGCTACAGATGCAGCACTGGAAATGAGGATGTGGCACTTTGTGTTCCTTAAAGCTTTAGTAGCCCTGAAGGGATGAATTCCTAATTTTTTCTCCTGCTTTTTAACAGGAACAGGAAGGTGGTGGATTACTCCCAGTTTCAGGAATCAGATGATGCTGGTAAATGACTTTTTTTTTTCCCTTCATCTCCTTGTTCTTGCCATGCATGTTAATTGTTCTGCTTCTAATCACATCTTCAACTCCAGTTCCAAGGAGTTTCTGTTCTTCACAGCCTGAACTGTTAATAAGTATTTGAAAATATAATCATTCTCATATGTTTTGTATTAAACAAACAATGGTGATAGAAATCTTATTATTTAATGCTGGTATTGTTGTAGTGCCTGGAGGCTGCTGGCAGCAATTCCTTCCTTGCTCTATGTTATGTTCTGGGGCAGAGGCTCCTTGATGCCACTTTTTTTCCACAGGAAAAGATGTTTTCCATTTATTTTATGGCTCCAGTTGAGCCCACATTATCAGGCATTTGGGGGGGATTGCAGCTAAAAAAATATCATTTGTGTGAATTAACAAAATATTGCTGGATCACATTTGGTAAAAATGTAATGTCTGAATTAAAATTCTGGATCCCATTTCTAAAACAATATCATCTGTGTGAATTAACAGAAACTTTCTGGACTCTTCTGAGTTCTTGGAAAAGAAACTCAATGCTAAGGTTGCACTGATAATCAAAATGAGACAAATATGCATCATTCTTAATTACAGAGGTTTTATTCATTAAATAAGGTATTGTGTAAGAGTTGCAAGGAGTTCTGCTGCGAGCTCCATGACATCCTTTATCCATCCCAGGACAGTAAAGAGTGTGTGCTGTTAGAATCGTGCAGAAATCCATGTGGCTGTTAATTTTTAATGGATTTATAAAATAACTAAATACAAAATGAATCCTGGGTCCTCTTGTGAGGTTTGTGTGTGTTTCCCTGGGTGAGACTTGACTGTACAGAACATTTCCACGGTGCTGTTGGCAGAAGAAAAGCTCAGATCAGTGATCTAAACCAGGACTTCGCTTCCACCAAAGTTTATTGAAGCTTTATGAAGTTTTTCTTTTTGATGTGCATGAAATGCTCAGTTGGAGTTGTGGCTGAGGAGAGCAGTTTGCTGGGATGAGTTTGACCCCAGCCCATTTTGTGCTGTCCTGTCCTGTCCAGATGATGATTATGGAAGAGATTCAGGTCCCCCATCCAAGAAAATCCGCTCGTCTCCCCGAGAGGCTAAAAACAAGAGGAGATCTGGGAAGAATTCTCAGGAGGACAGGTAAGAAAAGCAGCTTTGCATCTCTTGGCAACATTTCCCAGAGCTTTGCCCTGTGTGTGGGGAGCAGCATCTTCCAGGGGGAGTGGAATTCCAGTGAGATTGGAGCTCAGTCAGGGCTGAGACACTGAGGTGAGGCAGAAATCACGTGTGGAACTGTCAGCAGTGCTCCAGCACTCCAGATTCCAGTGAGATTGGAGCTCAGGTCTGAGACACTGAGGTGAGGCAGAAATCACGTGTGGAACTGTCAGCAGTGCTCCAGCACTCCAGAGGCAGCTGGAGTGCCAGGGAAAGGGATTTGGGCACAAGGATTGGTAGCTGCTGCATCCCTGTGGTGCCAGGGATGGGTGGCACTGAGGACAAGGGGGCATCTGGAAGTTTTGTGGCTCTTTGTTCCTCATTCTGGGTAATCTATAAACATTAAGTTGCCCTCCTGAGCATCTCTAAACTTCATTTAAGATGGCTCAGCACTGCTCCAGAGGCAGCAGGAGTGCCAGGGAAAGGGATTTGGGCACAAGGATTGGCAGCTGCTGCATCCCCAGGTGAGGCAGGGCAAGGTGCCCCGTGTTCTGCAGCCTCAGAGCATCCCTGTGGTGCCAGGGATGGGTGGCACTGAGGACAAGGGGGCATCTGGAAGTTTTGTGGCTCTTGGTTCCTCATTTTGGGTAATCTGTAAACACACAGCTTGGTTTGGGAGCCGAGTTCCTCCAGCAGCCTCAGTGCTGCCCTACTGAAAAGTGAAATTTTCCTGTAGAATTTCCATTTTTCAGTCCCCCAGTGACTGCCACGAGACCTTTGACTTTTTTTTTTTTTGGGTTTTTATGACAGAGCTCAGCTTCAGGGATGCTGGTTCTGAAGATTCTTGTGGTTCTGCCAGCTGGTTCTTGTTCTAGCACCCCAAGATGTCTTTTATTTTCCAAATGATCAAATCATTTGAGAAAGCTTAGACCAGACATGTGCCAGTAAATGCAAGATGCACAGAATGGAATCTGAACAATGACATAAAGACATGTGCTGACTTAAAATCTCTTCAGGATAAACCTTTATTTCATGTATAGACTGCATATAAACCATCAGAGTTGTAACTGCACTGGAAGCCATGTGGATTGTGGGTTGCTTTGGGAGTGAAGTGCTTGGTTCACCTCAGTCTGGTTATTTCCTGCCTGGTTTCAGTTTTTCTGGGATTCACACTTTGAACTTTATCTTCCCAACCGTGATAACTCCACAGGCAGCTGAGTAATCCTGAAGTATGTCCAGGAAAAGTGAAAATTCTCATCCTGGACACCAGTTTGCTCTTTAAAAGTTGTTATTTTCCACACAAGAGTGACTGAAGTCAAAGTTGAGACAAGCACTCTCACTTTATCCTCCTCTCATTTGCAGTGAGGATTCAGAAGACAAAGATGTGAAGACTAAGAAAGATGATTCACACTCAGCAGGTAATAGCATTGTACTGATTGTGTATCTTTAAATCATATCTGTTGACACCTGTGAGAGTTGCAGGAGTAGGATTTGAGACAGAAATTAAATTATTCTGATTTATTTAAAGTCATATGTTGCCTCTGCTGCTGTTACTTCCCTGGTTTGTTAATGGGTTTTTTGTGTAATGTGATGATCCTATAAAATTTGTCTTCAGAAGTGGATAGATGTGTTGATCCCTTCCCTGCAGCTTTTATCCAGAATGATCCAAAATCTTCATCTTGGTGCCTCTTCCTTGCAGATGAAGATTTTGGCAGCGAAGACGATGACGTAGGAGCCGACGATGGCAAAGCCGACAGCGACTACGAGAGCTCTCAAAAAAGCAAAAAAGGAAAGAAAGCTAAACCAGACAAGAATAAGAGAGCAGCCTCCAAATCCAGGAAAAGGCCTGCAGGTAAAAAGAAAAATAAAAAGAAAAAAGTAAGTTATTTTGCAGAGGATCTTCGTTGGGTGAGTAAGGAAGGTGTTGATGAGGTTGAATTGTCCCCACAGTAACTCAGCCAGTGTTCTAACCCCTGATAAATGCCCTGCCCCTGTTTTGCCCACGTGCTGCCTCGTGGCAGGAGCTCTCTGCTCTGTGCTCAGCACAGTCTGGGGCCTTTTTCTGCAGAGGACAGCGAGGATGAGAAGGAAGATCACAAAAACGTTCGTCAGCAGCGGCAGGCGGCGTCCAAAGCAGCCTCCAAACAGCGGGAGATGCTCATGGATGATGTGGGGAGTGAGGAGGAGGAGCAGGAGGATGATGAGGCACAGTTCCAGGAGAGTGAGTAAATGGGATTGGAAAAAGGGACAGCAAAAAAACCACAGTTTGCTTTTTGGCTGGGACACAGGGTGGAAATTGTGCTCCTGAATAACTTCATTTTCACTGTGTGTCTGTCCAGGTTCGGTTTTCTCAGCTGGAATTTGTGCTCCAAGTTTGCAGCAAAGGTGTCTCTGTGTGGGTGTGTGTGTGTGTCCCACAAAATTTGTCTTCACAAGTGGGTAGATCTGTTGATCCCTTCCCTGCAGGTTTTATCCACAATGAGATTTAAGTCATCAAGTACTTAAATTCTATAAATGTGGCTGTGGCAACTTCCTGTAACTTGAAAATTGGAATCTGCCATGGATTTGCACCACTTACTGTTCTGCATGCTTGGTTGGTCATGTACAGGGGCAGATGAGCCAGTGCTTCAAAACTGATTTGGAATTTTTGCAGTCAAAAGTTTGTAAGCTTCAATGACAGATTTTAGGAAAGCCTTAAATAACTGAAGAGTTCACTCAGTGAATCTTGAAGAATCTGTGAGACAAGAGACTTTGCCTTGGTGCCTTTTCCTTGCAGATAAAGATTTTTTTTTCCCCCCCCTGAGGTGTGAGTGTGTGTTTTCCAGAGATGTATTTCTTTGTAAGCAGCCCTACAGGATAATTGTAAACTTCTCAATGCTTTTTGCTGCTTTTTGCTGTCCCTGTGGCATTGCTGATGTAAGAACCCAGTCAGATTTTAGCACAGCAGATTAATGGAAGCCCACAAGGTCTCAGAGTCTGTGTCCACAGTTTCACTGGCAGATCTCAGCTCTATCTTTTCCTTCCTTTTTTTTTTTTTTTTTCCCAAAAAACTGAAATTTCCTTATGCTTCGAGCAGATTCAGGAAGTGATGAAGACTTCCTCATGGAAGATGATGATGACAGTGACTATGGCAGTTCAAAAAAGAAAAATAAGAAGGTCTCCAAGAAATCCAAGCCAGAGAGGAAAGAAAAGAAAATGCCCAAGCCCAGGCTAAAGGCTACAGGTGAGTCTGTGCAAGGGAAGTTTCTCAGTTTAAAACCCAGATTTTCTTTTTGCTGCAGAATCTTGTTTTTGAAATCTTGGAGTCACAGATGATCCACAAAAATGTTGGAAGGGCCCAAGTGCCATGATTTAAAGCAGCAATGTGGAATAATGAGTTGGCTTTAATTCTTCCTTTAGGGGTTGATTTGGGATCTGTGTCTTGGTGGTAAAAACTCATGGTATTGAAAACATTCTCTGCTGAGGTGCTGCATTCTGATTTTCTGTGTCTCACAGCCAAATTTTACCAATTTATGGCTCTGTTGGGGACTTTGGGATGTTGTCAGGGTGGGGACATGTGAACCAGAGGGAAACTGGAAGCATTTCTGCAGAAATTTCAAATGATAACAGCAATGCCTGCTCTGCTTTGAGAAGAGCTGTGTCCATTTATGATGTCACATCCAGCAATCAGCCAGGACCTGCAATTAACCAGCTTTTAAATCTCATTAGATTGCTCTTCACTTCAGCTTTGCTAATTGGGAGTGCTAAAAACACTGTGGGTATGGTCAGGCTGCTGCTGGATGACTTTGAAATCCCATTTACTGGGAGTCTGCCTTTGCTGCTGCTGCTGAGTTTTACAAGGTTTTTCTTTTTCCAGTGACCCCCAGCCCAGTGAAAGGCAAAGGGAAGGCAGGTCGCCCCACAGCTTCCAAGGCAACAAAAGAAAAGACCCCATCCCCCAAAGAAGAGGATGAAGAGCCTGAAAGTCCCCCAGAAAAGAAAAAATCAGCCAGCCCTCCGCCAGAAAAGTCAGGGGATGAGGGATCTGAAGATGAAGCACCCTCTGGTGAAGATTAAAATGGCAGTTGAGGAAAATCTTTGTTTAAAAAAAAAAAAGAGGAAAAAAAAAAGAAAAAGGAAAAGAAAACAATACTTAGGGGTAGAACACGGTTTTGGCTGTGGCTTGACTCATGGGCTTTGAATGCTGTCTTTACTTTCAGCTGTTTAATACAGTGTATTCTTTTTTAATAAGAGGAAACCCTTCTACAGTAATATTTTGAAGTCAATGTTCTCTGTTGGCCATTCCGTTCTCCCTCCCCTGCCAAATCTGAAAAGCCATTTGAGACAAATTAACAGACCATTCAATGTTTTATTTTTTTTTCAAGGGATACTGCAGTTGTGAAGCAATAAGGTTTGAGACTGATCTGTGGAAACCATACTTACAAATCCTTAAGTAGAATAGATTTTTCCCAGTGCTGGTAAGAGCTGTTTAAAACTATTATTCTGTATTTGGAATATATGGGAAAAAAAATAATGAACCTCTGCTTTAACAGACTTTGAGACGAGTTTGCTCTCAGCAAAAATGTAGTTGATCTAATTGCAGTGGAGGAGGATGGAACATGGGGAGGAATCCTGTGTTTCTTGGATTCAGGCACGTTTTTCATGGAAAGCAATCAAGAAACTCGGAGATGCTTCAGTGTCTTTGATTTAGAAAAGACCCTTCAGTCAGGATGGGAGATCTTTTGTCTCTGCTGGATAGAAAACTGTTCTGCTGTAGGCAAATTGCAGCCCATTCCAGAGAAATTCAGATATTCAACCTACAGCCTTCCCATATCCACTCACCCTTCTTTTGTTCCTTCTGTAGAGGGGCAGAACAGGGAAGAGAAATTGCAAAATCATTTTTAAAACTGCTTCCCATTGGGTATTGTGGAAAATCTTTTTATTATAGATTTTCCCAAGGAAGAAAAGAAAACCAAACAAATGAACAGATAATGTAAAATGAGATTCTTCAGCTTTTGGGGTGAGGGATGTCCCTTCGTGGGTGTGAGCAGAGGCTTGCTGTAGTGCTCTGGTCACCTGAGGTCCCGTGAGTCAGCCCTGAGTGTTTCCCTCCCTGCTGCTGCCCTGAGCAGAGCTCCAGGGATCCCTGGCACAGGGGGCACTTCCCTGTGCCCACCCTGCTCCCTGGGGGATCAGCTCCCCTTATACCTGTGGGATCAGCTCCCATTCTGCCTGTAGGATCAGCTCCTCACCCTGCCTGTGGGATCTGTGGGATCAGCTCCTCACCCTGCCTGTGGGGTCAGCTGTCCTTCTGCCTGCAGGATCAGCTCCCCATGCTTCCTGTGGGATCAGCTCCCCACCCCTCCTGTAGGATCTGTGGGATCAGCTCCTCACCCTGCCTGTGGGATCTGTGGGATCAGCTCCTCACTGTTCCTGTGGGGTCTGAGGGACAGACAGATCTGTTCCCCTCCTGCCTGTGGGTTCTGCTCCCATCCTGCCTGTGGGGTTTTCTCCTCACCCCTGTCTGTGGGATCTGCTCCCACCCTGCTTCTGGGATCTGTGGGATCAGCTCCCCTCTCCCTGTGTGATCTGTGGGATCAGCTCCCCTCTCCCTGTGGGATCAGCTCCCCTCTCCCTGTGGGATCTGTGGGATCAGCTCCCCTCTCCCTGTGGGATCTGTGGGATCAGCTCCCCTTTCCCTGCGGGGTCTGTGGGATCAGCTCCCCCCTCCCTGTGGGATCTGTGGGATCAGCTCCCCTCTCCCTGTGGGGTCTGTGGGATCAGCTCCCCCCTCCCTGTGGGGTCTGTGGGATCAGCTCCCCTCTCCCTGTGGGATCTGTGGGATCAGCTCCCCTTTCCCTGTGGGATCAGCTCCCCTTTCCCTGCGGGGTCTGTGGGATCAGCTCCCCTTTCCCTGTGGGATCAGCTCCCCTCTCCCTGTGGGATCAGCTCCCCTTTCCCTGTGGGATCTGTGGGATCAGCTCCCCTCTCCCTGTGGGATCTGTGGGATCAGCTCCCCTCTCCCTGTGGGATCAGCTCCCCTCTCCCTGTGGGATCAGCTCCCCTCTCCCTGTGGGATCAGCTCCCCTTTCCCTGTGGGATCTGTGGGATCAGCTCCCTGGGGCTGTCCCTGGCTCAGCAGGACACTCGAGCTGTGTGCTGCCACTTTCATGTGCTTTTATCCAAGCAGCCAAATAATTTCCTTAATATTTTTATTTTCTGAACTTCGTGAAACTCCACGAACCTCGGTTTTCACACCCTCAGACGCTTTTCTGCCACGTTTGTTGGTGGAAACACTGAAAACTGGACCTGCCATTTTTATTTTGATTTTTTTCCCTAAACCCTCTGTGCTTCTGTCTGTTGCTCTCCTTCCAGCTGACAAGCTTTGCATCCTTCTTGGTTTTTTGCTTTTTATTTTTTTTGTCACAGAACTCCCCATTTTGCAACCAGCCTCTCGAAGGTGACATAAGGCAGCTAATTCATGAGTTGGGATTTCTGGTGGCAGCAGATTTTCAATCCTCTTTGGGATTTTGGAGAGTTCCTAGAGGTGATACACTAAAAAATGATCAGGAAGGACCCTGAATCCAGTTCAGGTGGGGAATGGAATATTCCTCCAGCAGCTGAGTGATTGTCCTGTGTGATTCCCTGGTTTTATTGAGGCTGGTAAATTCCTTTACCTTATGAAAATTGAAGTTCTCTAACGTTCTTGACTCTCATGGAACTACTGTTGCAGTTACAATAAAGATGAAGTTGTTTCATTGTAAATCTATTTTTTTACAATGGTTTGATTTTTTAATATATTTTTTTCCAGAACAGCATCAGGCTGAAGGGAAATCTCAATCTTGAAAAAGAAAATTTAATCCCCTCTCTTCTCCCACAGCTCTTCCACCTGCTGGATTGCTGGGAGAGCAGAAATTCCCTCAACTTCTTGGATAATTCTGGGAAAATAAACAGCCACATTTAAAAAATCAAAACCATTTGGGGGTAGCAAACATTTGTGCAGATAAATCTCTGGTTCCCAGAGCTGTTCCCCAAACTGTTCCAAGCTGCTTTTCTGCATTGGGTTCTTGGGGTTTGCTTTAAATTCAGGTACAGGGAGAGTTCCAGGGGATCTGGTTCTTCACCTGCCACACCTGAAGTGTATTTTTGTGACTCTCACCTCAAATAAATTTTTTTGGTTGCTTCATTTATTTTTTCCTAACAAGGTTAAGAAAAGTTAAGGCTGTGAAAATCCTTTTTCTGTTGTTTCAGTTCAGTTTTTGGGTTGTTTCCTCCTGGCACCTTTGGCCCTTTATTTCACAGAGCTGTTCTGCTTTCTCCCACGTTCACTGCTGATGGGTTGGAGGCTGCCTGGTGCTTTTTCTGAGTGTCTCACAACCCAAACACCATGGAAATCCCAGATTTTCAGGATTTTGTAACTTTTTCAAACCTGTTAGTTGGTACAAACACTGAGCCCTAAGGGTCTCTGTCAGAAGTACAGCAGTTTCATGCTTTTACAGACAAGAGCAAATTATCAAGGTGAATATTTCCATTCTTTTGAATATTTTTATTTTAACATACATAATTTTTCAGCAGCAGCAGACTTCACCTTTTTAAATGCCCATTGGAATTAATTTGTATTAAACATTCTGGAAGGAAAGCTGGGAAAATCCCTTTCTTTAGGAGCATCAGGAGATTTGTGTGGAGCAGAAAGTTTCATTCACAGGAGGAGGAGGAGGCTTTGGAAAGATTCTCTGTCCCACAGCTGTAGTCCTGGAGCCTTTGCAGAGAGGTAAAACAGATTTATTCCAAAATTCATTCAGTCTCCAGCCTTGCCCTGGTCTTGCTTTTAAAATCTCACAACTTCCATCCTGTCCCTGAATCCACACCAGCACCTCCAGCTCTGGTTTCTGCCAACATCCTGCCTTGAACTTGTCAAAATCACTCAAAATCTGCAGTTTCAGCTGGGATTTTGTGCTGAAGATGCTTTGGGTCAGTTCCAGGGGGGTCAGCAGGAGAATGACAACTGTGCTGAGTTAATGAGGTCAGGAGGGGCTAAAAAATGGGGCAGCTGAGGAGCTTTTAATCAATTTTCACTTTCTAAAGGCAGAGAGAGTGTGAGGGGAGAGAGGCAGCACCACCAGGGCAGTGCAAAAATCTGGAATTCCTGGGGTTTTTTTTTCCTTTTTTTCCCTTTTTTTCCTTTTTTTTTTAAAAATATTCCCTCCACTGATGGTCACAAAGGTACAAGAGCCACTGAGGCAGCCAGGTGAGGGAGGGAGGGAAGGAATCTGTACCATGCTGGAAGCTTTTGGAGCTGTAGAGAAAAAAAAAAAAAACTGGTGCTTTGCTTTTCTGTCCTTTGTTCGTGAAGTGTTTATTTTTCTAACAGATCCTAGCGTTGAACACACGGTTCCTAAAAGCTACAAAGTGACCCAGGAGTTTTGGTCTCTGATGGAGAATTCATTCATCTCTTGGAGGGGGAAATGGAGCAGTTTTGGAGGGGCAGTCACAGAGTAGTTGGTGGCGTTCAGGATGTGTGAGTTTGGGGAGCTGCTGTCACATCTGTACCTGGAAATGATCAATCAATTCTGTGTGTATCTGGCCAAACAGAGCTTTGAGAGTTTCCCTGCAGTTGTAGGAGGTTTAAATCCCGGTGCTGGTGGAACAGAAGCAGCACCAACGCTTTGTTCTGGCTGCCCAGGAGGATTTTTGGGCTTTTTTGAGCCCATCAGAGCAGGGAGAGCCGACAGTGCCCTTCAGAGAGCTCCCCAAGCCCAGCCTAGCTCTGAATCCCATCCCACACTTCCCACTTCAGCAGCTGGATGTGTTTTCATGGAACTCTTGCTGTCAAGCCGTGGAATGGGTGGGTGCAGCCCAGCCCTGCCGGGTGCCCCGCTCCAGCCCCGGCCGTGCCCAGCATGCTCAGTGTGACTGCAAAGCACCCGTGTGCAAACGCTCTGTACAGTGGGGCCAGGGTTTTTTATATATATATTTTGGGATGGTGGGGGGGGAGGAGGGTGGGTGGAGATCCTGAAATCAGCTTAAGCCAGACTTAAATGTGTGTAAAAAAAAACAAAAAAAACCCCAAAATCTTCGGTGTGTGAGTGCGCGAGCGGGAGTGTCTGACATCCCATTCCCTTTGTGTTCTCAGCATTTGTGAGGTTTTACTTTCTTTTTTCTTTCTTTTTTTTTTTTTTTTACCCCCCTCTCCCCTTCCTGCAGAAAAGAAATTAATTGTAAATAAGAGCTACGTAATTTTTTTGTTGTTGTTTGCCATCGTGTCACAGCAAACCCTGAGTGAGCAGTGTGAAGGTGGAGGAGGAGACTGGCAGCATTTTCTGGTATGCAAGGAATATTTTGTCTTGAGTATCTGCAATCCCCTGGTGAGCTTTTGGAAAAAAAAAATTAAAAAAAAATAATCAGGCTCTTTGCAGTTCCCCTCCCTGTCCTTTTTAATTGTTATTATTAATTTTTTGTTTAATTTCAAAAGCAGGAAAAAGGGGCAGCTGCAAACAGTCATCGCTGTGGGGTTGGGAACTC